GTGAGCCACCGCGCCCGGCCAATAGCTATTGTTAAACTGGAACATTAACAAGCAACACATACGCATATTGTTTAAGATTTAGATTTAATCTCAAGAAAAACTAACCAGAAAGTGATTAAAAATAATCATTTCTGATGAGTGGGAAAGGAGAAAAGGATAATGAGCCTTACGTTTTATTTAGCAACCTCCTGGTTTAGGAATTAAATGAACAAATAAATCAAGATATTAACAAATAATGAAGCAGATAATCACATTCAATCTAGTTCTGTGTATTTTCACACATATTTATTTAAATAAGATGTTATAAGGAAATACCAATTTTTGTTTCACTGGTAGTCAGTAGCATAAAGGACACAAATACTAATTTAGACTATGTTAGTGAAGTTTTTATTTTTAATCCACTACATAAATACAGAGATTGGTTAGCTACTATCTGGTCAAAATATATTGATGCTAGGGTATGCATTTATTAAAGAATTCTATTTTTAAAATCCTCCACATCTAGACCCAGAAAAGCTCACACACTGATTCACTGTAATTATCTCCTGAAAGTATTACAGGCCTATAGACCCCTCCAAAGTGAGACACTGCAGTTTTGAACACAGTAAATATTTCCATTGTTGCTAATGCTACCTCTTGTACCACTTCTATGCTTATAAATATAGCACTATTTTTACCTTGAATAATGCATGGCTTGGTGGCCTGCAATATTAAAATAGAAGTCTGTTGTGTGCTTCATTTCATTGGTGTGCCCAGTGGCCTCAATCCAGTGTCCTATTGGGAGACAATACACACCATCCACCAAGTTGTTTTCATTGTAAGTACAGCAACGGTCATGATGAGGTCCATTGCCTAGAACAAGAAGAAATGATAAACAGAGCAATTAAATCAGTGTTTGGTTTAAACATCCTCAAAGCGGCTGATACAAAATTAATAGCAAAAAATAAAAAATAAACATAAAGCTACTTAATCTACACATTTCAGTATAAACAAAAAAGACTAGAGTGAAAAACAGAACAGTAGGAGTTTGTAAAGAGCTACTTATGAAAATCAGAGTGTTTTACTCCCTTTGAGTACATGGGTTATAAAAAGCATGTTAACTCAGAGTTTCATGGTACCTCTCAGTGCTCTAAGAGGCCATTATGAATCACTTTGCAGCCTGAGAAGCTCCTAAAAAAAGTTTTTAAAGCTATTAATGCCCCTGTATTATACAATTCTATCTTTCTGGTATGCAAATTTATGAATAAAATCAGTAATAAAGTGTTTTAGTATCAGCTCAACCAAAAAATATGTAATTACAAATAAATGCATCAATAAATAATAAATGATCACATCAAATCTACTTTACAGGTAAAACAGTTATTATCATTATTTTCAAATGAGGAAAATAAGTCTCACAGAGATTAACTAGCTTGCCCAAGGTCATAGAACTAGTAGTGCGGCGCTAGCAGCAACCTGCCTCTCCTAGTCCCCCACCTTTTCAGCATCTGATGCCTTTGTGATGCTCCCTGCTGATGTCATATGCACAGACACACCGTCTTCCTTAAAGGGCCATGGATCAAAGGAAGCAGAGACACATCTCAAAAAATATTATTTGCCTATTTCACGATTCCGCGCAGTATCAACTACACTAGTTGCTATGGTATGAATGTTTTTGTTCCCCCAAAATTTATATGTTGAAATCCTAACACCCAAGGTGTTGGTATTAGGAGCTGGGGCCCTTAGGGGACGATTAGGTCATAAAGAAGAACCCTCACCAATGTGATTAGCTCCCTTATAAAAGAGGGATGAAAGAAACCCCTCGCTCCGTTCCACCATGTGAGAAAACAGCATGTCGCCGCCGTGTATGAACCAGAAAGTGAGCCCTCACCAATCACTGAATCTGGTATGCCTCAATTTTAGACCCCCCAGCCTCCAGAACTGTGAGCAATAAATTTCTATTGTTTATAAGCTAACCAACATACGGTGTTTTGTTTACAGCAGCCCAAATGGTCTTAGATACTAGTAAATCTTGATTTCTATAAAAATTATAATTCATACAGTATTTTTATTACCTTTTTATTATCCCATTTCAAATCATGCCTTTCTTTATACTACCTAATTATAATATACTGTAAGAAAGACATGTAAGCAAACTAAATGTATGAGTGATTTACAGAAATAAATCACATCTGTTATGAATATAAAAATGTGATTCATTTGTTCTTTTCTCCTTGCTCTGTCTTACAAAATATTTAACCTAAATCTGCTTGTGGCATAAGCTCTCAAAAAAATCCTTAAATTATTTGGTGTTTCTTTGAGATATAACTCCTTCCATCAGACAGAAGGTACAGGATGACTCCCTTAATAAACCATTACTGATCTTCCTAGATCCGTCACCTCTTTTTTCTCTTAATGGATGTTTTTTCTCGATGACTACAAGGCACTGCACCACATCTCTATTAACCTTCATTTTTAATAGATAAAATCCAAACTATACTAGCAACTTCACTTCTAGAAACATATCCAACAGAAATATTAATAAGAAAAAAGAATCTCTGATGCATACAGAGATACATGTGTATAGTAATACTATTTTAATAGAAAATATTGTAAACCATAAGTTTTTTTCATTCTTCTACAAATATTTATTGAGGCAGATACTGTCCTAGGTCATGTTAAGAACTCAGATATTTATCATAAGAGCAAGTAAAAATTTGAAATATTCTAAGCAGACATGTAACATAACCAGATTTTATTTTGAGGATACCTCTCTGGCTACAGAGTAAAAAAATAATTTAAGAACAATCAGACAGAAGCAGAGAGTCCATTTTAAAAACTACTATATTGGCCTAGGTAGTTTATGATGAATCTTGGTCACAGACATTGAAAGGATTACACAGATTCAGGAGGGAAAAGCCACAGGACTTGATTAATTGGAAAAGGAAGGTGAAAATGAAAGGGGATCAATAATGACTCCTAAGCTTCTAGTGAAAATAATTCAATATACAGTGGTACTATTCACTGAGATGCAAAATCTGAAAGAGGCTGTAAGGAAAGATCATCTATCCAGTTTTGGCAACGTTGGGTTGGAAGTGCTCTTTACATATCCAAAAGGAGTCGTCAAACAGAGAGCTGGAGTTATTGATTTGATATTAAGACCAGAAATCTGAACTAGAAACATAAATATATGAGTAATTTGAGTGTAAATGGTAATTGAAATAGGAACATAGATGAGTCACAAAGCAAAACAATATGAATTGAGGAAAAACGTTCTAGAACAAAGTCTGAAAGCCTTTCCATGTTTAACAGCCAGAGATAGAAGGATAAACTTACAAAAGATGAATAGAGAGAGAAGCTGAAAAGGAAAAGCAGGAGTGGCTAAGTGAAGCAGCAGAGCATGACTGAAAGTGTAAACATAGACTACAAACTGGATGTGGTTACTTCTAGGAAATGGAATTGGATGGAGGGAAACTGTCATAGTCAACTGTTTTGAATTGATTGGATTACCTACAAGGAGCGGGTGTTTTTTTTAGTTTAATGAAAGAATATCTATGGCTCCCATTGGTCAGTACAATTGACTTACAACACTGACTTACAACACTGACTTACACTTACAACACTGACTTACAACAACCTATTAAAAATATAATTGTTGGCCGGGCGCGGTGGCTCAAGCCTGTAATCCCAGCACTTTGGGAGGCCGAGACGGGCGGATCACGAGGTCAGGAGATCAAGACCATCCAGGCCTACACGGTGAAACCCCGTCTCTACTATACAAAAAACTAGCCGGGCGAAGTGGCGGGCGCCTGTGGTCCCAGCTACTCGGGAGGCTGAGGCAGGAGAATGGCGTGAACCCGGGAGGCGGAGCTTGCAGTGAGCTGAGATCCAGCCACTGCACTCCAGCCTGGGCGACAGAGCGAGACTCAGTCTCAAAAAAAAAAAAAAATATATATATATATATATATATAATTGTTGAAGAGATCAAATATTCATAAATTATGACGGTCAAGAAGAATTATTTATGTATCATCATCTTCATAAGAATTCTTCATTCCTACAATGATTTCTTTAATTGCTCATTTTTATACATTTATGTTTTAGGCAACATTTAAAAAAATCTTTCATGGATAGTAACCTGAGTTATTCAAAATATGTTCTAATAGTTAAAATGTATTTTAGAGGATGGGTTTTTGTCTTTTTAATTTCACCTAATGAAATGGCAAAAATGAATAGTAAAATAATTGTGGTTTTGGAGATTTCTGCATGTCGAACTATGGAATAAATGTACTTTTCCCTAGTCCTCCCACTAAGTATAATTTAAAACCCTGAAAATTATAAATAAACAAATATAAGGTAACTTTGAAAGGCAAAGAGAAGACAGACCATCCAGAGACACTGAGACCTAAGGAAAGACCTAAGTATTGAGTTCCCTGCATTTTCTTTTTGCCTTATATATCCCAGACTTAGATCTGAAGAAGCCAGCAACCTGGTAACACAAGGACAGCCAAAGGAAAACATGACAAAAGTCCACTCTCTCTAGCCAAATGAAAAGACAAGCCTAGCCAGACAGAAATCTGTTTGATAATAACTACACTACTCCAGTTAAACCCACTGAAAAAATGTGGCCCCACACCCACCCAGGCCAGCAAAGGCCAAGCATGGGTAGACTTCCACTTTTGTTTGCCAAGCTGTATTGCAGCGCCTCAACTCACTCACTATCATGGTGTCAGAAAAGGATGAGTAGCGGTCTGAAACTTTCAGCATCACCCTTGGCAATGCAGTGGAGTCCAAGTGGAAAGGTGGACTTCCACCTCCATTTGGCAGTAACGAGGTGCCCCTCCTTCCCACTGAGATCGTGTCACAGGTGACCTAGTGGAAAGTCAAGATTTTCACCTCCTTCCCGCCCCACCATCAGTGGATGCCATATGGGAAGCAGTAACAAGGCATTCCTCCCTCTCTCAGGCAGAGAGCTATCAATGGAGGCCTAGTGGAGAGCTAGAACTACCACCTCACTCAGGGAGGAGTCTGTTTGGTTTGGTTATGAATGGAAACAGTGTGAGGGACTGGGTAATAAGGTGGGACCTCTATTCTTCTGCTGGAGTGGTGTCAGAAGAATTCAGTTAAAATCAAAGGTTTACATAAGAGCTAATACTCTTATGTAAGAGCTCTTATGTAAGACCTATATAATACCTCAAATGTCCAGGTTTCAATAGAATATCACCCATTACATCAATAACCACTAAGATTTCAAACTAAATGGAAAAAAAAGATGCCTGATAAAGGCCAACACCAACAGAACAATAATGTTAGAATTATGTGATAAATATTTTAAAGCCTTAGTAACCCATTAGAACACATTTCAAACAAATGAAGAATCAGAACATCTCAGCAATGGAATGGAAGATGAAAAGAGGAACTAAATAGTAGTTTTAGAACTGAAAAACACAATATTTGACATTTTAAAAACTCAGTAGATGGGTTTAAGAGCAATATGGAATGGGCACTGGAAAGAATTTCACAAACTTCAAGATAAAATCATGGAAATTACCCAACCTAAACAGCAAACAACAGAGAAAGTAGGTTGAATTTAAAACAAAAAAACAAAAAACCAGACCCTTGAGTACATGTGGTACTATTAACAAAATATCTAAATTTATGTAATTGGAGTCTAGAAGAAGAGGGAAAAGATAGTAAGGCTTAAAAGTACTTGAGAAAACAATGCCTGAAAACTTTTCTAATTTGGCAAGAGGCAAAACCTACAAACTCAAGAAGGTGAGCAAAGTCCAAACAACATAAACCCAAAGAAATCAATACTGAGATATGACATATTTAAAATTCTGAAAACTAAAGACAGAGGAAGTCATAAAAGT